GAAAAATCTACCGTAACCTCCGTCCTTATTATGAAATAAGGACTTGTAAGTTCTCGCGGAGCACACAGAGTTTCCTACAATATTTCTTCCTACACACTTGTAGATACATCGGTGCTTTAACTCGGGCCATTTCTCGGGAAGCTAACGCTCCGTCGAGTAACGATTTTTTTTTTCACGCTACGGCGTGAAAAAAATACATGACCAGACGGCCGATTCGATAAATCTCTTTTCGCTGACAGTCCTTCGTATTCTTTTAACTTATTCGCCGCTCGCATCTGTATCAATTTGCAAACGACAGCGAATAACGAATACGACTTTCCAAAGATTTATCGGGGAAGAAAAAAAAGAAATCCGATTCGAATAAAAAGCTGTATTATTAGCTTCTCAGACGGACAATTTAAAAAAAAAATCGTCATGAATTTCACGCGCGCGAATGTAATGAAGAACAATGTCTGCACCACGTACGCGTGCTGGCCATAAATATTCAGCTCGTCGAAGCGCGCGTGGACATTTTAACCCTCTGCCGATCGCGCGATGTATATATTTTGACGTCCAGGATTATACGGTGAACTGCATTGAGCACAATCGGTGAAGGCCCGATTAAATATTCATACGTTTGGTAATTGCTCGATCTCTGCGATTCGAAATTATATATGTGTGCATGCGTGTGCGTGTGTGTGACTCAGAGCGATAAAAAGAGGGGAGGAAAAAAAAAACAAATCTCACGCGGGTGATGTGTTCGATACGCTATGATCTCTGCGATTCTCAATCAGGGGATCATTATCGTCAAAGGTCGACGTTCAATGAGCGAATTGAATTATGATAATGTTGTTTTTCTCGTTTAACATTTCCCATTACACTGCATTATTTCCAAAATAGCTTGCCGCCGTGTATGTTCGTGAAATACTATTTTGTTTTCGCAAACAGTTTTGCAACAATATATAAAGTACGTAAATATTGACAATGTCAATATACTTTTGCTTGAAAGAATGTCAAATAATGACAGAACGATATCTGATACTCTGTTATTATTATATCCATATACATATACATAATAATATCCAAATTTCGATAAAAATTGAAACATTTAATTTATAATTCAACTTCTAATTCACATTTCCTTCTTTGTTCTTTTTTTTTTTAAATAAAACGCTTTTAATATAATAAAAGTCATGGAGAATGGTTCTAGATAATATATTAATAAGACAAACTTCTATAATTGTACTAAATTGAATTGATAAGAAATAAGTAGAAGAAACAGTCAAAATAATGCAGTTTAAAAAAAAAAATATGATTTGCTTATTTCATAGTTGCAAATTTTGGAGATATAGTAGGAATAGATAATGTAAGAAAATTTAGCTAAATTAGTAAAATGTCGAGAAATTATATTCGTTAAAGTTTAATACACGGCGCCTTTTAAACATTCTAAGAATTCGAGATACTAAAGTTTGTATTACACTGAGTATAATATGGCCGCATTCTATTCCGCTACCTAACACCATCATTTCACTCGCGATATAAACGAAACGGCGGGAAATAAAACGCCTTTTCAGATCCCTTTATCTCGTTAATCTTGTCGCGCTTTACGCGTTCAAGATAGGAAGCATAACAGGAAGAAGGAGGGAAGGAGAGGGCAAACGGAAGAAAACGCGAAAGGGGGAAGAAGAGGTGCTTATTGTACCTTGAACCTTTCCTCTTTTAGCCGCGAATGTACCTGCCGTTCAAACTTGGCAATGTCACGACCGATAAATAAGACTCGCAATCTTTTCCGCCAGTCGGGGCACAATAGAGGCAAAAAGTCGTAGGGCGTATCAGGTGCGAGACAAGATTGCAACAGGGAAACTTACACCTGGTGCGCTTTGAAATTCGACTATGGTTTACACCCTCCTCCCCCGAGAGATGCGGTCAGACGCGGATATTCCAAATATTTTCCGCATTTTCTCGCGACGTCCGATCGTAAACATACGTTCGAAACGAAACAAACGTCGCGTATAAAATATATACACCAAGTGATTTATATCTTACGCGCGACTTTTCCGGTCGTGAATATAGGAATTTAAAATGAGAGAAAAGATATCACGATACTTTTCAAATAATTCTCGCGATTTAAATGACGGAGAAAGACTTTTATATCTCGATATAACTCACGTACAGCTAACTTTCAGCGAAATGCATTTTAACAGAAATTTAATTTTTGCCAAGAAAGAATTTATTCGCGAAGAAATATTGGGCGAGAAAGGGAAGAAATGACGAATACGCAATCATTTGCATGTCGATTTTATTTCGCGCGATCGCGATAATTCGCTCGCTCGTTTAACCCGTTCGCATTACACAGCTATTACGAAGCCTTTGCAAAGTCTGTCGTACGATACGTGAGAGAAAAAATTAATTACCTCTAATTACAACGTTCGGGGCAGTTTCTAGTAGCGATGCCTGGGCCCGCGATACGTTTGCGTTGCGTGACCCTGATGCTTATCGAATCAATGACAATGCATGCGTGGGTGCGTGCGTGCGTACGCAACGCGCGCGAGAATAGCCGCGATAAGAGCTTGACGATATTTAAACGGCAATCTCGTCCCGTCGGTCCATTCATTAACAGACTTAATTTAAGACACCGCCGACGGAATTTTAAACACGGCAAACACTGACGCGATTAGCGTTAATCACCGCGTTTCGGTTCGCATCGGCGCGAAGAAAGGACTAATTAATGACGGGCGGGGATATTGTGTTTATGAAGGCGCCAATCTCTCTTTCTCCCTTCCCTCTCCCAATATTATCGTTTTACAAAAGCGCTCGGCATGATTAGAGGGCACGTGTGTGTTTGTGCCGCAGAAAGAATTTTGACAAACCTATCCTCTCTCTCGTATGCGCGCATCCGGCTTCATTACTGCTGCAACGCACCCGACCACAATTACGGTACTCGGATATTTGTTATTCGTTGTAATGCCGCACATGCATTGTTTGAACATAGAACATTCCTCCCCAAAAATGTTGGTAAACTCGCGGTCAGTTGTTTTTTCTTTGCGAAAATTGATCCGCGGAAACCAGAATAAATTACGCGGACTATATTAAGTTTTCAATTTGTAACGCTATATATCTTGGCAAACGTATACTTCAAATTAAATTCCCTTTCAATTTAAATCCGCGAAAAATCGGCCGCAAGCGGGATATCTGTATCCCGTAAATGGAGAATTTTTCAATTTAAAAAAATTGGCGCGTGCTCTCTCTTTTTTTCGCAGTATGTATATATACGCGGGCTATTTATGACTGAAAGATTTCGCGCAAGTCTAGATCACCTGGTATATACGTATATGCGTATTTTCGTGCAAATCGTATGCTTAAAGCGAAAAAGCGTCGCGAAAGAAACGCGTCTCTGAGGAAACATAAGCGAGGCATTGCGTTGTCGAAGATATTTCAAAGGCTGATGCAGTTTCACGTGAACTCCGCGCTCGATGGTTCGTCGATTATCAATTATTCCGCAAAGTCGATATCGCAAAATCAGACGCTTCTCGGCTCTTCGATATGCAATCGCGGATATAGCAGGCACATCCGTTCGTATCATATCAATTCATCTTAAAAAGATCTGTGCCTTCTACATATATCTTCGTACTTTTTCTTAGAAGTATAAATTCGTCTCGTTTTAAATCTAGAAACGCGCGAGAATATATCACAAAGAATTTATCATGCATGTCTCTGATTTCAAACTAAAAGAATTAAAATCCACAATTTCTGTTAAAAGAATAAATTTTTAATTTATCTGAATATGAACACACGTACATCTATTCTTGTACTTTTTAAATTTCCAAATGACAACAGCGTAGTTTCACTTGCATATAATACATATATGATTATATCTAAGTATACGAGAGGGATGAGTCACGCGTGTGCATAATTCAAAAAGCGCTCATTTAGAATCTGGTTCATTCACTCTCGCGCATCGCGCATGCTCCGCGTCACGCTCGATCGGGCACAGCAGTTTGTAATCGCAAATTTGCATTCAGAGGTTAAAGTCTAACCGAACCTTGGTCGTCCTGAACAACGTGAATCTGACGAGTTCGGGGAGGTATCGCTGCGAGGTGTCGGGCGAGGCTCCCGCTTTTGAGACGGTCTCCGATCACGGGGATATGACTGTAGTCGGTAAGTATTGTTATGGAAAATAAGGCCGAACGCGGGGGGAATATATACACGATTAAGCTTGGATTATAACGAGAACGTGGGTGAAAGCAGCGCTTGATTTAAATGACAATAAAATTTAAAAGACAATATTTGGATCGATATTCTCGATAGACAGAGTTTTAAATCTAGAAACGCGCGAGAATATATCACAAAGAATTTATCATGCATGTCTCTGATTTCAAACTAAAAGAATTAAAATCCACAATTTCTGTTAAAAGAATAAATTTTTAATTTATCTGAATTCGTCTCGTTTTAAATCTAGTCTTGTACTTTTTAAATTTCCAAATGACAACAGCGTAGTTTCACTTGCATATAATACATATATGATTATATCTAAGTATACGAGAGGGATGAGTCACGCGTGTGCATAATTCAAAAAGCGCTCATTGCAATGAATCACGCGTATTGATGCATACATGTGATTCACTAGCGGTGAATTCGCAAGTGCGCCTTATCACGCGTGCGAATATTATCGTCGAATTGATCGGACGATCGTGTCGCGTGCGGACAGACGAAGATTGAAATTACCACTCAGAGAGAGTACATCGCGATTATGGCGAAAAGCTCGCGGTGACCTGCCCGTCCCCGAGCGTATTCAGTCCCTCGAGTGAATACGCAAAGTTTCCCATGCAGCTGCAACTGCGACAGCACGGAAAGGTGACAGGGAGGCAAGGGGGCGGGAGGAGGGGAGGGGGGGGGAGGAGAGAGAGGAAAGGGGTCAACGGGGACACGTCACCAGGACTCGACTCTCCGTAGGGTCCACTTTCTACACGCGGGCGTGCACATACGATCCTCCTACAAACCGCAATGCGAATCTTTTGCAGGCGTCGTCGTCGTCGTCGTCGCCCTACGCATGACATCCCTGCAGATACCGGAGCACGTCGTCCTGAATGAGACGGTGCGCATGCAGTGCAACTTCAACTTGGACAAAGAGCAATTGTACTCGGTGAAGTGGTACAAGGACGGCCACGAATTTTATCGCTTCACGCCCAGAGACAGGCCCGAAGTGCTAATGTTCCCCGTGCGAGGCGTAAACGTAAACGTGAGTGCGACTTGCAAGGATACTTAGAATGACGCGAGAGAATGTCCCGATTTTCTTCTCCTCTTTCCGAGCGAGAACCGTTGTCCTTCGACACAACGTATTCTTTTACAGACGATAACAGTCTGACATTTGTATTAAACATCTCGAGTATTCTCTCTCGTTATCGAACATTAGATAAATAAAAAAATACGTTGTCAAATTTAAGCATCTCCAATAAGTAAATTTTTCCAATCTTCTATTCTTGTTTTTTCTCCGTTTAACCTGAGAGATATAAACGCGCTTGCTTTTGTGTACGCGTATCTCTCGCGGCGAGATGTTTTCCGTTCGAATCTAATAGAATCTGGTTCATTCACTCTCGCGCATCGCGCATGCTCCGCGTCACGCTCGATCGGGCACAGCAGTTTGTAATCGCAAATTTGCATTCAGAGGTTAAAGTCTAACCGAACCTTGGTCGTCCTGAACAACGTGAATCTGACGAGTTCGGGGAGGTATCGCTGCGAGGTGTCGGGCGAGGCTCCCGCTTTTGAGACGGTCTCCGATCACGGGGATATGACTGTAGTCGGTAAGTATTGTTATGGAAAATAAGGCCGAACGCGGGGGGAATATATACACGATTAAGCTTGGATTATAACGAGAACGTGGGTGAAAGCAGCGCTTGATTTAAATGACAATAAAATTTAAAAGACAATATTTGGATCGATATTCTCGATAGACAGAAAATAAATCTCTCTCTCTCTACGAGGAGAAACATATAAATTTAAATATCTAAAGTATATATCGAGAAATCTTTTTATACGTATATATATCCTTAAAACGAGTTGTGTATTAGCGCGAGATAATTATTTTGGTAAAATTTGCGAGAGGAGCGAGACTAGATAAATGAATACGTGCAGTAAATGCACGCGAGTAAGATAAGGGGGATCTAATCCGAGGGAACGACAATAGCACTAGAAAGGGTCATGGCAACGTTTCAGTTCTACCTAACGAAGGACCGCAGATAACCGGCGGTCGTTCCAAGTATCAGCTGGACGATGTCGTTCGCATGGACTGCACGTCGGCGCCTTCTAAACCACATGCGCTATTGTCTTGGTTCATCAACGACGAGCCGGTAAGTGAGACACTTAAGCTGTCGGCAAAATAATTGCGATCTTTGTTTCACGCTTCACTAAACTTTTCCGACCAACAAAATGTTGCATCTCTCTCGTTAAAAAAGAGAGAGAGCGAGAGAGAGAGAGAGAAGGGGAAGAGGAGGGAGTAGAGAAGAGAAGAGAGAGAATATACAGAGAGGAGTTGCGCGGTATATTGCAATTTGCTAAATAAATCAAAGCTTCATTCCACTTTGTTTTCATTACAAAGACACATACGTGCGTGTCCATTTGCGCTATGTGTTGTGCGTTAATCTCGAAAAAATACTCTCTACTCCCAATAATATTCTAATTTAAAATTTATTTTGATAAAACACCGATCACCAATTTCCAATTAAAGGTGAAACGTCGACAGCCTATCGTGTCAACATTGAATATCGATTTGAAATTCTCGGCGTTTATGTATATTTTTCATTTATTTGATCCCATTTATGTGCCGTTAATGTTTACAGAACTTCGTCTCCCTCTCTCTCTCTATCTCTCTCTCTTTCTCCCGCTCTTTTTCAGAAAATTCGTTACCGTTATATTCCAGCGAAATTTTCCGCCCTACGCGAACGCGAAGCTTTAACCGAATTAAAGATTAACTTTAAAATAACTTTATCTCTCCACCTACCTGAGCGCGCGAGCGCACGTCGCTGATGAATATTATTATCGTTATCGTGCAATAATTAGAATCTTGCTTCGGTGCTTAATGCAATTTCGCGTAATTGGTTTCGCGAAAAAAATTTGCATCCAGGATCAAAAGAGAGCAATCACTCTCGTTCTTAATTGTTTTCAAATTGCGTTCTATAGAATCGCGCGTATCTGTTTTCCATCTCATCTAATTGATACCGTCGATGTTGCGTAATTCGGGTCGCGAATCTACGCCCCAAATAAAAATCTGCCTAATTGCTCATGCTCTCCCTCGTCTCCCCTTCCCTTCTCCGTCCAACCGGATTGTGTTCCAATCTTGTTAAAAATTGTTTCGTTTGGTTTTTTTTTCCACATGAATCGCGCTCGTCCCGCTTTCAGGCCGACACCGACTACCTGATAGGGCCCAATATCGTCATCGACGAGAACGGCCTGGACATCGCGAAACTCGGTCTGGAGTTTCGCGTCGGGAACAAGCACTTCAGGCAGGGCGACATGAAGCTAAAGTGCTTGGCCACAATAGCCACGGTCTATAAGCAGAGCAACGAGGAGAGCGTGGTTGGCGATGAGAGTGTTCTGAAAACGTCTATAATGGAGAGCCGCGAGACCAGGGCGCAGAGCCATACTCGCGAGGACCTGACAAACGGTAAGACCCCTCCCCTCCGCCCCGTATCAACCCGTTACTTTCCCACCTGCGCCGCAATTGCGCAACGTCCCCCCCCCCCCCCCCGTCTTTTGCTCAACCATCCCCGCTATCGCTGACTTTTATCTCATGTAAAACTTGATAAAATGTGAGTTTAAAGAAATTAAGGTCCAGAATCGCACGGACGTCGACCGTTTCTATAATCCTAGTTAATGTACGTAAAAACGTACCTCTCTAGCGTCTAGTACTTCTCGTTGAGAATATAAAACGTACGTTCAATCGGGGAAAGAATCGTCTCCGTCTCGCCGTGACTTTATATATTTTTATAATTTTTTCGCGAATGTTTTCTAATACTTTTCACATTCTCGCAAATCTCTTTAAATTTCTGCGATACGCACAAATCGAGAAAATGCGATTCGCGGTGAATCATCGATTGCAAGCAGGGATGCGGAAAAAATTCACTTGGGTCAAGCTCTTTGTACGGAGTTATACATCCCAATTTTATAATACTTCGCGCTCACGTTACATTATTATTTCGTTAACGGATTGGATTTACCCAAAAGCGAGTGGCAATCGGGCACGAGCGGTACCGTGATTGTAAAATATATTACGATATATTTTGCGTTTATTTCTTTTTTTTTTTTTTTTTTTGGCAACCGAGAAATCCATGGTTTTTTTTCTACGAGTTTACCTCGACCGATAACAAACCGGAGGTAATTTCACAGTCGCGTGTACGTTTAATACGCGCGTCGTATTAAAGTAGACTTTTCACCAAAAATATTTTGCGATCTAAATACCGATTGTAAATACGCACAGCGTATTTTCTATACATACGCCCGGTGGCAAAATTCAAGCATAACCATTCGAGAGAATATTGATATTTGTTTCGCGGTGAACGGTAAAACACGCGTTGCGAATTTTGCGATATTAAGCGCGAAAATTATTCGAAACCCGGCGCATCGAAGACCTCGGTCATAACAAGTAATGAGGAGTATAGCGGATTAAAGCCCGAAGTATTAAAACGAATCCCCGTAAGCGCGTAACAGCATTCGGCATTAATCACAACGGGAAACTAATTGCACGATGCTTTAATCCGCGATAGTGCTATCGCCCGAGTCCCGCAATAAAAACTGATTAATTACGGCCACACTGTATTCAAATCCTGAACTAAATTACGGCAAGAACGAGACTCGGGGCTTCACGAAATGAGTACGTGGGATATAGTTCGGCGTTCCGAATTAACCGTTTAAGGGATGCGCATCGCAAATTCGCTACAATCCTCCGCGAATCTCTATCCTATTTCGGCGAATGTTTCGCCGACAGATGTATTCCGCTTCGCGAAATTTCATTTTTCCGGACCGTTACATGTATAAATACATATACATCTTCAACTTTTAATATTTCGAGGAATTGATTAACGCGATCCAATTTTTCGCTGTCGGGAAAAAAAAAAAAATTACAACATTTATCCAAGCCGGGATAATTTTACTCTCGTGAACAAAAACGACTTTATGATTGCGATGAATGACGAGAAAGAGAGAGAGGGAGAGCTAATGAATGTATTTCGTCTTTGATGTTTCAGGAACCGCGAGTGTCGCAGTCGAATGGACGATCCTCGTCATCGCCCTCGTCACATCGATCGCCATCGCGCGATAATAACGACGAAACGTTTGCCCTTCCTCCCCCCATTCCCCCACGTTGCTTCCTAATCATATAAACGTTAGGAGAGATCGATTTCACCATTACTATTAATTCTTAAAATTCGCGTAATCGTAAAAAATAACGCAATACCGATAATGCATATAATAAGTGTACGTCCAGTTTACGCGTCGTCGACGTACGCGTGGTGAATTCTTATACATACTACATGCGTTCTAGGCTCTAAATGTATTCTCGTGCACGCACGGGGAGAAGGGAATGAATGATCCTTCCCTCTCTCTCTCTCTCTCTCTCCGCGCGTTCGTTTAGATCGTAGAAGGTAAAGGACGACGTTGGAGTCGTCGTCTCTTGTATCGCTTTCCAGATACGTCGATGTTATTCTTACTACGATTTTTACAAAGGGATTTTCTATTTTCACGACATATCATTTTCATTCTCACATTGGCGGTCGCGTGACGACCGGATGACGATCTTCCCTCTCATGTTGGTCCCTAGGGCCCCAACTAACAGTCCCGCGAATGCGCTTTCACCGGAATCGCTATCGTCCAACCCCCTACTACAATCCTCCCCGCCGCCATTTTCCCCCTCAGCGATTTCTTCGTACAAAGCAGAGTTAATGGTAGTCGCGAAGGCGGCCGCGAAATAGATTTTTTTATATTCATACACGGTGGATAAATCGTTCTCGTACGTGCGAGTGATTGCGAAAAATAAATGAATTGAAAAGGAATTTATGGAAATTTATTTTGCAAAATTATGAATATCCAATCGTCGACGCTTGATTTCGAAGATTAAATATTTAACTTCGCAAAAATTAATAATAAAAAGAACGTTTTACATTTTTCTTGATTCGTCTATTTTTTGCAGTGCGCGATAATAGCGTTTGAGGAGACAGTTTCTTAAAATTTTCTTCGTTTCCGTTTTTACCATCTTTCCGAGTATATTTAGTTAACCGTGTTACCCTCTGTGAGTTATAATTTCTCCTGGCTTTAATCTTTGATATAACTCGATCGGTAAAGATAGCTCGAATGTTGCTAATAAAGTAGCATATGAGTACTCTAACAATAAGTGTAATATAATATTATAGACAATATATATATAGTATATCCTAAAATATCTAGATAACAAATGTTTAAAGATAGAAAAACATTTGTTAAAAGAATATAGCAATCTTTATCGAGCGCTATTATTACGCATTACCGTGTGACATCGCACAACAATCGATTCGCGAATCGCTTGGGAGTGTCTTTTTTTATAACGGGAGCCTTTTGTTGTAAAATGACCGTAAGTTACAGGTCGTTCGCGCGCATCGCAACGCGATTGAGTTGAGTCCCACTCGATAACCACGTGAAACGCTTAATCGGGTCGCTGTCGTCCCTCTTCTGACTAATTGTAAGGCATAGTTAATCTCATATCGGATATATGTCACGCGTACGGAATTACTATCGTATTTTCGATCGATATTGAAATATCCCGGAGGACGCGCGCACACGTCGCCAAATCTAGGAGGAGGAAACACGGACCTCCACTTAGGCTCGTCCGTAACGTGTCGTCGTAATTAACAATAACGCGTAATCCCGAATCGACAACATCAGTAAGCGCCGCTTGAATCGGTATTTTTCTCGTTGAGACACAAGGGAATTACACCAGGTATCAACTAGCGCGATAAATGACGCGAGCATGTATTGTACGCGTGAGACTTGTAAAGGTAAATTATTAAAAATCGAATTTCAAAAGAGAGCATCGAATTCTTTTAAGCCGTAAAAAGATACTACTTTTTATGTTGCGGTAGACAAAGTGCGTGCGAATAAATTTTATTCGAGTGGATATGTGGAAAAAAATGTTTCTCTCTTTAAGAAGTAAAATATTATTTAAATTTTATCCAACGAGAGTTCGTGGACTTTGTTAAATATTTATAGCTAGCGAGCACATTTATTAAGGTCATTTTATCCGTCGCTGTACAATAAATTCGAGATGATTTTATCGCAAGCTTGTCCGCAAGCTCAAGAATAACGAAGAAAATACAATATACGTATATAAATACCAAAGTATATGAAAGTATATGAAAGTAGCACAAATGACCGGAAAATCACCATCGGCAATCTGCGCATTATCAACCGTCGACGCCGATCGATACACAATTACGCCGGATATATCTCGACTCTGTAGCATATTTTGACTGAAAAACCCGCTCTGTTACGAGTAAACCCCGGTGCGCTAATGTTATTGCCTTACGCGAAAGAAAAATATGTATATAGATAACGAGAAAAATGTTATTGCGATTGAAACCCGTGTGTTACGCGAATAGCGAAGCCTATGGAATGTATCCGAGAGAACACTCGATATAAAAAAAAAAAAAAAATACGACAGAAAAAAATGACGCGTGCTCTCAATATGAGCGTCGTTGTTCCCCCTTTCCCCTCCCGTTTTCCCGGGAGGAAAATATGCGACGCAAATATTTGACGAAATGCCGTTTCAACGCGACAAATGGTGTACTTCCCTTGTAAAGTAGGAAAGATCCGTAGCTTTTGCTCGAGAAAAAAAGAGAGAGAAATTGACACACATATCGGAAAGGAAAGAAGACTACTCTCCCGATTTTTTCATGCCGCAACATTTTTTATTCCCCGTGATTTAACCCGGAAAGAGCGGCGGAGCCGCCGAATACGTTCTAAATCGAACGCAATAAAAATGCTTTCCGTATGTTTATACGATAAACTTCCTCGCGTATCTTTTTCCGATGTAAATCTAACGAGGCTTATTCGTCGATTGAATAATAATGGAGAAGAAAATAAGAAATTATCGATAGGTTGATAATCGATAAAGATGGTTCTATAATTCTTCTGTGGTATAAGCATAAAAAAGGAAAGAATATTGGTTTTCTTGAAAGCATCTCATTTTAGCAAAAAAAAAAAAAAAAATTTTGCTCTCATCAACTTTTATAGCTTTAAGCTCTAAGCGGCAAAAGAAGAAAGCGTACTTTCTAGTTGTAATTAAAAATTATCTCGTAATACTTTTTATAATAGTCTCATTATACTACAACTTATGAGAATGTCAAACGTGACAAATTATGATGCTCTTCGCTCGTTCAGGGTTAAAACGCGAGTATATAAAGCGGCGTACCTGTATTATTATTTTCGAATCAACGTAAGCATTTCGACACGCTCAAGATAGATATCCTTCCGATATATTTTTCGTATAGACTCAGGACAAAGTATGTATTTTGCATTGCGATTTCATGTGTAAAGCGCGCTGAAGCGTTAAGGAAATTGGAAACTGCGCAATTCGCGCGAGACGCTGTGTTTAATCGAGTAGAAAGAAAACGCGTTTCATACGAAGTAGTGCGTTAAGACCCCTAATACGTGTCATATTACGAGAATAAGTGTTTACAAACCTGTAAATATGTACATAATTTTCATCGTTATTAAAATTATTCACTATTATAACACTGTCGAG